GAAGGCCGAATATCGGCCGAAACGTTTATGAATTTTAATTTTGTAAGATCTTTTTAAATACACGACACATCGCAATAAATAACCGGCGTTTTGGCTATATGCTCCTTGTTCAACTTTTGTAAAGTTTCATTTTAAACAAAAAAAAAAACAACAGACCTACGTCAATCGATCAAAGGCCGAGCTCGTTATTGAATATTCGTCGGCGTTTTTGACCCTTGTCTTGTATTCTCGCCAAAATCAATCGCGTCGGCGGCTTCTCACTGCAAATTTGCAATATTGCGAGACGTGTCGCAAACAAGACGCGGGAGACAGGGGACGATCGTTCTAATCGGTGAAGTACCGCCGCGAGCGAGAGGCACGTAATCATCTTTTGTAGGTACGTTACGTGTCTGGGTCATGAGCGCGTATATATGCGGTCGCGTGAGCGCACGCGTACCCGCGTATCATGCATATACATGCGCCCGATAGAGGAACGATGAAACGATGTCGCCATGTGGTGCAATACACTCCTCAGGTGTACGAACGGGCGCGATTTTGCCGGCGAGCAACACGACGTCGCCGTTGGATTCCACAGCGCCAGCGGTGATTACGCGTGCGGAATATTCTCTCGCGCGGCATGGTTTAGGCATGTTTCGATCCCCCCCGAGAGATTGTGGATACCTATTTGAAGACGTAATCGCGCGGGATACTGCATTATTCTTAACGACACGATCGCGACATTCAACGTACGGCTGCGTTTGAAGATGAAACTTTTATCCACACTACTGTTTATTTTAGAAATATTTTACAATTTTCTCGCATCTCATGAAAAATTAAGTACCCCGGTGGAAAAAATCAAGAAGCTGCTAAAAATGCAGGTTTAAAAAGGAGAGATAAAGCTGTAAAAATTTGCTTGTTTTTAGTTTCGTTTCTACGATATTTTGTATAAATTATGTGAAATTGGAAATTGATACTTTTTTAATATTTTCGTTTTATTTTTGTTAACTTCTTAGTGCGATTATTTTTCACAATGATATCGAATTTTTTGTATAAAAACTCATTTTTATAAAATGTTTTATAACTATGAAATTAAAGAGTTTACAGAAAAAAAATGTTTTTGTTATAATATATTCTCAATTCGCATAAATGTCTTCAAAATTATTTAAATACTTTTTAATTTAACTCTTCATGAGACACAAGAAAATTGCAAGTGCTTGCAAACTATTTATGAACGGTGGCGTATAAATTGTCGTGAAATAACAATTATAAGAAGTTAGATAACAATATTAGATAAGACAAGTCGTTATTTATTTTAACGATTGTTTCGTAACGATAAAAATAAATGACTTGCGAATAAATTATTTGTATATCTATGCGAAGCGAAACGTTCGTTTCAAGACTACAAGGATAACCATTATTTTCTGAACTTGTTTATTTTCATCCCGCGTGTTTTATGCTCTCGGAGTTTAGGTCGCAAAATCGTACCAGTTTGGCAAAAGTTCGAAGGCTATATCAGGCTATCGGAGATTAGCAGAAAACCTTTTCCGTAAATAGAACACCTTGATTTTTGCCAACACGTGTATTTCGCTGCCCTCGTTCGCGCGCGTGCGAGGCTACTTGAAGACAAAAAAGAACATTTATCATAGCTCGTGGCTTATTGCAAAGTGTTATGCAAGTCGCGTCTATCCTCCTCGGTAGAAATTACACTATAGTTAGATACGGCAACGCGACACGTGAAGGAATGATGTCTGTTACCGAGTTTTACAAGCTTCTAGCGCGCGAACAGCCGTGGAAATGTAACTAAAATTGTCACGTGACGACAATAACAACAATAACGCTAACATTATCGGAAAATAAGTGCAATAATTTCAAAAAACGTTCGTGTCGTCCACACTAATGTTACTTTTATCATGCGGCAGCCTTTTAATCGATCGCTTTCAATTCCCGAGTTGCGCCTTATTGTGCAACTAGCGACAATTTCCTACATCTAATCCTACAATTATTTTGGTTCGATAAAATTATTTTCGGATCTGTATCTATCTAAAATTTTAGATATTTCAGCAAAACCGTCCCTTCCATGATAGATTTTTAAGTCATACATGAATTTTCCAAAATGAAAAATCAGAATAAACAAATCTTTTTATGAGATGATTTTATCATCCCTCGTTATTTTTCCATTCAAGTTTCGAGAAGCTAAACAATCGTGATAGTTCGCAGAAACCTGGCGTCTTCGCGATCTTAATTCACGATGTACAAACGAATAGATAACTTTTCCCGACCTCGACACTATTTTGCCGATGCGCGCCGAAGACATGACACGAGAGGAGGATTTTCAACAGCCAGGTCGCGGAGATGCTACGACGATCTATCAACTCGCTCCTTTGCCGATGGTAATCAGTAATCATTGGTGTCATTGAAGAAGAGAAACAGTGCCGAGAGAGGCCAGCAATTAAGTACAACACTTACGGAGGATGCTGCGCGCGTTCGCAGCATCCTCCGTCAATATTGACGCAGGAACGAGCGATGCAGCGCGAACGAGACCCATTGTTCACGGTGTATTGAGAAAATTGTACGAGTGCGCTCGATATTTTTTATGTTCTACACACATCTGCTGTATACGGCGAGGCAAGAAAAAGATCCATCTCCGCCAAGGATCGCGGGCGTTGTGCGCGGAAACGCGATGTACGTTGTGTGCATTTAATGGCTGTTTAGCGAGACGATAACCGTTTCGCTGAAATACACCTCAAGAGGATGCACTGCAAATATCCCGCGAGTTCTAGAAATACCATCAAACGCCTCCAGCATGAAAATTCATAGGAGATCTATACGGTGGTTAGCATAGCATTTACAAGTTAAACAGATTTTAAGATCGTGTGGAAGGACAAGAATAAACTTCGAGAGGGATTCGCGCGCGTAAGTAAACTGCATTTATACAAAACAATGTTTCATGGGAATTTACATAATACTCCCGGGGAGTTGAATAAAGGAAAAATTACGTAATACATATTGTTCGCGTAATCACGGTGATCGCGATTATATGACTATGACAGGCGTTGCTGGATGGTTTTAATCCAGGAATAATCACCTAATTCTTTTACACAGACGATTACGTGAGGTATTTTTTACACTTCAATTTAAAAAAATCACTATTATTATTATATAATTCTTTATAAAAATAAATAAATTCGCTAAATGTATAATTGCTATTTATACACATTATTATATTTAGTAAATTGTTTAACAATTAAAAAGTTTTGCATTGAATTTTTTTGAAGAACGTATAGAATATTATCAGTTTTACTTGTTAGAGAGAACACTCCATGTGAATATTACGTTAAAAAAAACCGAGTAATGTAAGGTTAATTATATATTATTGATACGTTATTGATCTACATTTTATTTGTACTCGAGAATTTTATATATATAGATTTAATATTTTTTCTAAAAAAATTATGGGAAATAAAGCATGGCTGGATTCTTGATCAATAAAGAAAGCTCCTACGAGAGCTACCGAGTTCTATTTTCTTACTGCTGGATGTAAAAATCAAGTGACTGTTCTCGGGTTAATGTGAGATATTCGAGCGTTAACCGCGAAATCCATATCGCCCGGGTCGTTACTTCGAGATACGCGTGTCTCTCGCTTTATCGGACCTGTCTCACCCGAAACACCCGGCCCGTTTTCTCTTCTCGCCCCTTTCCTTCTTATCTCTCTTCTTCTGTTTTTTTTTTCTTTTGTCACCTTTCCTTTCCTTCCGATGTACTGACGAATCAATTCCGCGGCGGCACGAAATTCTCACGGGATCTCTCTCGCAATAAATTACTGCCTGAGGACGTTAGTTTGCCGACCTCCGCGCTCGCGCACGAAAACGAGTTTCTCAGTCGTCGTCGCGCGAGCAAACAGGCGCGATGACGAGTAACCGAGTCCCCGCGATTAGCATACTCATGCGGGTAGCCGAATTCAGCTGAGTGCACTCCAGGGCACTGTGCCGCCGATTGCACGATCCCCCGCGTTCGAGATATCATATCGAACTCAAAATGTTTCGACAATATTCTGTTTCGCTTTGCCATATTCGTTTTATTTCGCACGGGGTATCTTTTTGCAACTTATCGCATATTTCATCAACAATTTCATTAACAATTTTAGTGTGAAATGCAGAAAAACGGAATTGAATAAAATAGTGCAAAATTTGCTTGTAAGATAAACCTATTAAAGTAAGTATAATGACTTATCTATTTGCATACATTACGTATTGTGCAGATAATAGAATTTGTAATCTACCGAGGAACGATTCGCGCACTACCATCATCAAATTACCTTCATTACCTTCAAATAGCTAGATACGTATCTAGATATATATATATATGTATATATATACATAAAGTATCTTCTGTAACATTAAACTTGATAAAAATTTGTATTTAATATTTCTTTATTGTTAATATTGAACATATTATTTGTAATATTATAAGTGAGAATTATCTGGGAGTCGGTGTAAATGGAAAGCAATTAATATCTAATCAAAATTAGCACATTAGCTACTGAGATGTTAAATATAATCAACGACTGTTTTAAATCCGAACTATATAAAAAAAAGGCAAAAATCGTTCATCGTTAAATCGCAAAGAGATTTTATCGAAAAGTTCGAGGCATCGAAATGTACATTTCACACTTACCGGATTCTTCTGTCTCTAACTCCTCTTTAAATACTTGAAGGGTTTCAGACACATTCGTTTGGTGATAGCAATGGTCGTTGAGGGTGCTCTTTTTGATATTGTCTGCCATCTGCTGTTGTATCTCTTCATGCTTCCTCCGAGTGATCCGTTGATTGTCTTCGTTGTTCAACGGATTTTTGATCGCCATCGGTGATGGTAAAGTTTCTAATGATGATGTTGAAGCTTCTGATAATGATGAAGGTTCTGATGATGTATATGAAGCTCCTGATGATGTATACGAAGCTCTTGATGATAATGGTTTCAGTAGCGATGGTGACGTCCGGACTGAGAACTGTGCCATCATCTGAGACATGTTGAGCTGATGTTGAAAGCTCACCTGCTGCTCTTCCTTTATAGCAGTCCTTGAATCAGTCACCTCGTCTTCGCAGAAATCAGTCTGGAAGGAATCACTTTGCTTCCATGAGTGCCACTCTTTCAAGTATTCCTCCTCGGCATCTTGAAATGCTTTCGTTGCTTTATTTTTGCAGCGCGTTAAATAGTCTTCTTCTTCGTCCGATATATAGTGAAGGCAGTTATCTGTCTCTGAACGGATTGAGGGAATTAGACTATCTGCCTCTGAAGATTTTGAGGGAACTGGACTATCTGCCTCTGAAGATTTTGAGGAAACTGGACTATCTGCCTCTGAAGAATTTGAAGGAACTGGACTATTTGCCTCTAAAGATTTTAAGAACATTGGACTATCTGTCTCTGAAAATTTTGAGAGAACTGAACTACATTCAGAATTTTTAAAATTCTTCATTTTAGTTCGAATAGTCCTGAGTGATGCGTGGTACACTTCAATGAAATCACGGTAGTGCTTTACGGGTTTCAGTATTACGTAAGGGGATCTTCTATTCATAAAGACTTGGCGCTTTAATAGTTTGACTTTACGTCCCTCGGAATAAACTTTAAACTGTTGATCCTCAAAATCTATGGTTTTTTTAGGAAGAGGAAGACTTTTACTTTCTGAAACAGAGTCTTCCAAATTGAGCAGTCCATTTTTTTGTGAACAGATTTCTTCATACAGCGAGTATACCTGTTTCGAAATCGGCAGCGATTCTATCGACTTCACATTCTTATCCAATTGTGAGAGCTTTGGCTCATCGAACTCATCGAACGTGGATTCCGGCTTTCCATTTAAATTCTCCAATTCTAAGTCCAGCTTTACATCGTCCAGCTTTATATCCTCCAGCTTTACATCCTCCAGTAGATCAAACAAAAAAGATACCGGTTTTGAATCATATTCCTCCAGATCCAGCACCTGTTTCGGCGTTGGCTCTTCTTCCGGCTGGGGCTCCGGTTCTGGTTCCGGTTCAAACTTCGGCTCTGGCTTCGGTTGTGCCTGAGGCTGCAGTTGGTTTTTCGTACGTTTTTCCTCAATTACGTTTGTAACACTCCGTTGTAATAGTTCTTGCTCTTCTTGGAAAACATTTAACCTATTACAATAGTCATTCCGACTGTTATGGCGATTATCTGAAACATAAGAAATTAATTTATGAGTTTATAAAACAAATTTTTATATAATACTTTAAAATTAAATTATAAAATATAATAGTAAAGTATTATTTAAAAATTGTAGCTTTAAGCATCTATTACTACATATTTAATTTTTTATTAATAACAAATTAATTTGTTATAAATTTCTTTGCAATATGCTGCAAAAGATTTAGATAACCGATACGCATTCAGTAACTTTCCTCTATAAAAAACTTAAAAATTCAAAAATTCATCAAACCTTCATATATAACTTTTACAGCAATAAATCGTTAATTAACAAGAACATAAGAATTTCATGTTTTATGTTAAGCTTTGCAAAAATTAAATTAATATAACAGTAAAAAATTAATCCAATGACATTAAATAGAAGACGTTTAATCAATAAAGTTTGTAATTTAACTTAAATATTTGTATTAAATAATTAATCATCAAATAATCAAAGTTGAATTTAATTTTATGAGCAATTATTTAAAGTAAAAAAATGAAAAAATTATTATGAAATTATGACTGAAAATAAAAAAATTTGAAATTTCACATAAGTATCAAAAATACAAAATTTAATTTGAGATTCCATGTAAGTATCAAAAAGAAATTTTTTATTTTTGATACATGAAATTTCAAATTTTTCTATTTTAACATTTTTTCTTAAATTTAGTTGTTTAATATAATTGTGAAGTTTTTACTTTTTATTATTCTTCATTGTTGATTGCAATATGTTGCGATAGAATAAAGTACGGAATTACATCACGTACCATAATGCTGGCATATTATCGTGTGTATCAATAACGTACAACATGTAATTATTTCAAAAATAGGAATAAAGGTTGCGATAATGTGCATATAATACTATGAAAATAAATGATCTTTTCATTGTACTTATACGTTGCTTTCCGTCATTTTCTTTATTCGTTTTTAATTTTTTATGAAATTGATCAAAATTATGTACAAAATATATTAATAAATAAAATATATATTATACAATATTAAACTAAGAATCTCTCTAAAATATGGATATTATTGTTATATTTATCTTGAAACTTTTTACATATATATATATATATATATATATATATTTGTGGATAAACAATGTAAAACGGAGTGAAAATAAAATGGATAACATAGTGCCACAAAGTGACAAATTATTATTTACAAAATTATTCTGACCATTTATAAACCGACATCTAGCTGTCACCCAGGATAACTTTTTATCTGCATGGAAAACTACTGGGTATGTTTAGATACCTTTTAATCAGAGATCGGCTATCAGGATTTCGTCAAATTTCTTCGAACGAGAAAGGAGTATAGGCCATCTCACTCTTCCACCATGATGTATATACACCGCTATTGGTGGAAGAGTGAGATAGCCTATATTCTTTTTTCGCTCGAAGAAATTTGACGAAATCTTGATGGCCAGTCTCTGATTAAAGAGTCTCTAGGTATGTTCAGCATTATTTATATCCCTTCAGAATACATTTCGCGGCTAAGTATACGATCTTTAATATTACTTTCTAATACGTGTAGTCAGTCAACATCCAACATTTCTTTCTGATCTAATTCAACCACAGCATTTCGTAACTGAAACGTATGTATCTCGTGCCTCGTCGATATAAATTTTATCTATATAACTTTGTATGGAGTATAATATATATTATCGTTCCCTTATTTCAAAAGTATGACACAGTTAATGTGATTTTAGAATTATGAATGAAGAAGTTAGATAAAGATTATTCTATCAATTATCGAAAATAAACTAACTTCACAATTCATCCACCAAATAGCACTGATGTTGTTCTTTTAAGATTTTCAAAGAGATCGTAATATCTTCTACAGAGTGATATATTTTGAATTGTATCGTTTTTGTAACTAAAAAAGAAAACTATAGAAAACATTTAGAATTAAGTATATTCTTTTGAAGTAAAAGAATGGTATGTAATCTACCGAGTATATTTTCTTTACATCAATTAAAATGCTCAAGGCAGCATAAAAAAAGGAAATATAGGATAACATTAATCTGTTACATCGAACTTCATCATTATATTAACTATTTAAAATAAGCCGAAAACAAATAAAACAAAAATAATTGCGTAATATTACAGTCTAAGTTTTTCTCGTAACAATTAATTCATTTGTGTGTATGGCACAGAATTAAATAGCTAGTAATCAGTTGGAGTCAACCCAATGACAGCTCTTTAGGAATTCAGTTTAAGATAGTACGGGAGCAATTGCGGCGATTGAAAATACGCGGAAACGCCAGTTATATAGCATGATGATTCATCGCTTGACTGTTCTAGTAAGATGTGTGTTGCGATTCAAGATCGCAGTTTTGCCTAAAGCAGATGGGAAACTGTGTACGGATGACGCCTGCGGGTGATCCGTATGAATCACGATTACAGAAAGATCAATTCTACCGATATTTACGTGCCGGTATACTTTCCCTTTCTCCCATATTTGCAAGTTTATCAAACATTCAGTCAAACGTTCGTTTAATGATTACCTATTATAGCCATTGCAGTTTGTTACATACTCGACTCAATTCTTTTTCAAACGGTGCAAAATGATCTTTTCGTGTTAAAACTGTTAAAGCATTAATAATTAGTTAACTCGTTTATATTCTACAATAGACTGATTTTTTAATATGCGGGACAAGACACGAATAAAATACAAACAATGATACTCGAACACTGCTTGAAATAAGTACTCTCAAAAATTTTTAGAGTGAATCTCACTCTGAAGAGTGAAATCTCGTTCAAGATAGAAAACTGAGCCTCTCTTTTTTAAGATTGACTAAATTTTCACTCTTTAGAGTGAGATTCCATTCGAAAGAATTTAGAGAGTTGAGATTATATTAATTTATTTACTCTTGAGGGAACAAAAAAAGAAAACAAATCACATAATAACATTAAAGTAAAAAATGAATAAAAAAATTTCAATTTTAAAAAATCAAAAAAACTTGGAAAAATAGAATTTAATAAAAGAAAGTGTCAGAAAAATTAAATTTAATGTATCTGATTTAATATATCCTAACAATATCAAAAGTCATTACTTAGCATATTACGATACAATATACGATAAAAATTGTGTATCTAATGAATTAGCTCTCATGTAAATATATCTCGTGTGTAACTTACAATGATCTTTACATCCTAATTTCATACGTTTCCAACAATATTGACAGTCTTTCAGGAAAAAGTTTAAAAATAACCGATGTGGGAGACAAAGCTTTGAGGACCAAAGAAAGACCATTTCGACTCGGCGAAGAAAAAACGCTCTCGTTCATGGCTCCGAGCACGCGGACAACAAATGATCGCGCACGCAAACAGACATATGTTGACAAACGGAACGACTTAATTATCAGCCACTGTCACTTGGCGTGAGAAAATTACAAAACTCAATTCTTCACTTTTTTTTAATCGCTTGAAAGAAAAACGTGTGGATTAAATAAGATCTGTCCGAAAAGTCGTATAAAAAAATTATTTTATTAATACATATTTGATCGCATTTAAAAAATAACTATTATGCAAAAACGATGCTGACATTATTAATCTAACGAAAACAAATTATTTACAGAATTGTAATTTATAGAATTACAAAGGCACTAACATATTTCTTTTAAAAAAGGAAAAAAAAACGGTAACGAAAAATATGAATTCTTATGCCTTTTGAAGATAGATTTTATGAACACCCTGTATACCGTGGTACTGACCTGCCTCTATAACGCTATCGTCCTGACCTATGTCTATGGCGCTATGATGCTGAACTTGTCTTTAAGTTACTGACCTATCTCATCTATTTAATCAAGTATATTTAACAGGCTTAAACCAAGAGTCAACGAGATAACGAATATATGTATAAAAGCTTCATTTCTTTTTGGACGCTCAGTCCACAGTTAGGTAGTTGTATAAAATTGAACAAGTACGACAAATGGAAATCAATGCGGCAGTAGAGATTAAAATGTATATTCTACGTGCTTCTAATGAATTAACCCCCTCGTTAACCTCGTTATCGCGAAAATATAAAATCTAGAAGGAATATCCGTAATATGTCGCACATTAAAAATGATATCTGGACCGAATGGATTCGATCGTAATGGGTCTCTATTATGTAAGAAAAATATCGTTATCTTTGCTCTTGCGTGCGCCATCAGCGGAGATATAATAGTTCAAAGTCCGAAATCCCGCAGCGTGTTTGATAATTAGTTATTATCTTCCATCTCTCGCGACATTAGGATTTATAGAGTTAGACGCGATCGCGGCTCTTACGGCTGATTTTCACTATCGACACTGCTGACAGATGCATGACAATAGCATGATAACTGAAACATCCGAGCGTCTGAATATTGACAGTAACATTTACGATCACGTCATAAAATTTAAAGAATTTGCTACATTAATCACGGGCTGCGATCTAAGTAATTTGTCAAGTTTAATTTTTTGATACAACATAAATATCAATAAAAATTAATAAAAAAAAAAAATAAAAAATGTATCTTTTGATTTCTTTATTAAATTTAATTTGCCAATGGAATCTGTTCCGTTCGTTCGCGGGTGAGGTGATTCGCGAAAGACGCGTCGCGGTCTCTCTCCTTTAGGAAAAGTAATTTCATCGGCGGCGTAAAATCGTCGAGGCCGAATCGTACCGCGTCACGCGGGAGAGAAATTATTCGAGCAGAGCAGATCTGATAAAGTGCTGGAGAGCCGCTTTCGTTCGGACTTTCGAAAACGTGCGACGCGCGACACGATACGCAGCGTCGCGATCGAACCCCTTTAATTGCTGCCTATACAAGTCGCGAGGAACGGAAAACCGGTCCAGGTGCAGATAGCTAAGTACGCTCGGCTTCCGCCGAACATTATCGCTCGAGCGTGTAGCGAGTCGACTTTTCTATCGGATGCTAATTAAGGGTGAGTCGACACGAAAAACTGGAACGGCGAAAAATCGCACGGTAAACTGGCTCGGCGATTAAGTCGAAGCAGCGCGTGCTTTCCGTCGATGATCGATGAAAGCTTCCACGTGCAACTGCTCGAGTTTTTTTATCATGTCAAATGGCTTTAATCGGTGTATCGAACGAGGAATCGACGTGACGCGCTCATAGAAAAATCACGACGGTAGTTAAAGTTGCAAAAATAAATTAGCAATTCTCGGAAAATTACCAAAAATACTTTACAGAGATAGATGAGCTAAAAGGTTTTTTTTGGCAAAGTATTTAAAAAATCCGCAATCGTGATTTTCGAAGGAAAATGATAAGTAAATATACATATAAGTATAAAATAATTTAAAAAATATATAAATAAAATAACAAAAGAAATAAAAGATATAAGTAAAATATTCTTTTCTCTGTAAAATATATGAATAGAAAACATGAATGTATTTGACGCAAATTAAAAAAAAGAAGGTACTGTCCATTTCTGATGGATCGGCAATTTTTTGTTCCGGCAAAAATGACGCGTTAACGGTTTTTTTTTCGGAGTACAAATTTGTAAATGCTTTTTCCGATGAAGATGTAACTAGACAAATACACGAAAAACGTACATGTCGCATATATCCGAGATGAGTCAGATGAGTTTAAAACCGGAAGAAGGCACCGTGCATGTTTTTGATAAAATCACTGAAAACTTACACGCGAATCTTTCCGATGGAAAAATAAATGAGAGCAAAAATATCTGCGAATAAATAACGAATAGACGAAAATAGACAATATGAAGAATACGTATCCTTCATTCATTTTAGAAGTCAGAAACAGAATTTGCCGACTATTTATAAATCAAATAAAATTCCGAGCGACTAATTGACATAATCGTTTCAATACGGGATATAATATAATATATGTTTATAATATAATATATATAGCATAACCTTGGCCACAAATATAAAACACCTTCAAAAATTGACATCTATCGAAAATTAAATTAAAAACAATCAAAAAATATATTTTTCAATAAAAAGCTTTATTAAAAAATATTTATTCTTATAACAATTTATTTTGTTAATCCTTTTTACTGCAGCCAATATTCTTTTAAGAGAATAAATTGAAGTGCTTTATACTTAACAGCTAAGACTGTATATCGTTTAGATATAGTATTATACACTGAAAAAAATTTCTGGTTGAAAATGGACGAATCCGAAATTTCTGGTTAAATTTATTAGAATTCTAGTTGAGATAACCGGAATTCTGGTTGATACTATATTTCTGGTAAAATCTAGTAGAATTCTTATTTTTACCAGAATAATTATATTAATCAGAATTCTAGTTATCTCAACTAGAATTCTAATAGACATAACCAGAAAATTCTGATTCGTCCATTTTCCACCAGAATTACTGTTTAATCCAACCAGACCATTTTTCTCAGTGTAATATTATTAAAATGTAATGTTTAAGTGTGCGAGAGAAAATCCACGCTACCAGACGAAAAAAAAGAAAAAAAAAACATTTGGTGAGACGATTCGTGCGTCGTGTTTTGCGCTTGCCAGAAAGATTTCATCGCGCGGCGCGTAAGTATAGAATCCGCGTCGTAAAGTGCGTCAGATCGAGTCTGGTCCGTGCGTACGTTTCCGCTCGCGTGCGGAGCAACGAGCGATCGTCTTGCCGGCAGCCCCGTCACGGTTCGTAAAGAGCCTTTTAAAAAGCGCAACACGGGCAAATCGGATTCCTATGAGCAAGCGCACGCGTCATACTCATTCCCATCGATTCCCGATAAACTCGAGGCAGGTAGGTAGGTAGGTAGGTAAGGTTCGATGAACCAGCCGCGCGCGTGAAACAGCGCACAAGTACACGGCCCCGCTAATTATAGAAGTTACATGTTAATCTTGTTATTCGTATTTATATTCTACGTTTTAGTCGCGCGTGAATTCTCTCGCTACAGTTTCCCTAAGTTATCCATTAAGCTTCGTGCAAACTTTATGGTCGTCGAATCGGCGAGCCGTACCGATTGTTCGTATGCATTGTAGCAGCATAGTGTAGCACATTACCAGTAGTTTGCAATGCCGTACAATTCAATACGGCGTTCCAGCTTTATGCAGAGAATTGAGATTCATGGATATTAATTGATAGAATTATATTGCTCCACGTAATTCAAGCTTTCAGCAGTTTGCACGAACAATCATTGGTCTTGTCAATCTACTAGTATGACTAACTAGTATGAAAAACAGTAATCTAAACAATAACACAACATCGTATTGGGAAAAGAGGTTGGTTGCTATTAATTGAAATTCTGATAAGAAATGGACATATTAAAATGTCTTGAATCTATTATAATTTTAGTCAAGGTAAAGTAAAGGCAAAATTCTGATTGATACAATGATCTTTTGGTTTGTTCAATTTTTCTCAATGAAAATTTCATACTCAATATAAATGCACCTTCTAAAGTCTTTGGACTGGAATCTCACTCCAAAGAGTGAAAACTGAGCCAGTCTTCAAAAAGAGTGGCTTCAGTTTCAATTCTTAAGAGTAAGATTTATTCGAAAAGTTTCAAAAAGTAATATGAAACATGTACGTAACAATTACACTATGAAATTACAACATCGATGTTATGTTATTGTCATGTTACTGGATATAAATTCTGCAGTGGACAAAGCATCGCGTCGCAACCAACCGACCTGCCGGCCGGCCGGCTTGACGTGAGCGGTTTCTTCTAATGTTAACCTGACAACAGTCCACCCGGGATATTTGAGAAAATGTGAATTATTGCAAAATACATGCTACTTTTTTCCCTTTTTATTCATACTTTCTAAATTCGTTTTGGAGTGACCTTATTCTATTACTCTATTATGAAGAAATCTTATTCTAAAGAATAAAAATTGAAGGTCTCGTTACTTAATATACTTATTTCATTTGTAATATCTGTTTGGTTACTACTTTTTTTTTTACAGAAAATTATGAGTAAATTCATATTCGCAATGTTCTCAAAAATACTGATAAGTCAGAAAACAGTCAATAATATTCAATATCATTGTTTAACTTCAAAAATGATACAACTAAAAAAATTAAGTTTTTTTTAGAAAAAGGAAAAATTATTTTTCAACTTAATAGAAAATTATTGACCAATCAAATAGTATCGGTAAAAACAATTAGAAATATGATCAAATGTCATTTGCTCGCCGACGAGGTAACAGGTGACTATTCTCAAATTAAGATCGAACCTTTACATGCATTGCTTCAGTTTATGAAGCAACGTGTAATCAATAGGTCCGAGGTTCAATTAACTATCATTCGACATTTAAGACTCAATAAGATTTAGATCTCGATTGAGAGAGTCAAGGAATTGAAAGCTTCGAAAATATCGCAATAAAATTCTCCACGACGAATATTCGACATTAAAAAAGAAAAGCTTACCAAGCCAAGGATCATTTGGGGACAACAATAGTTGCAACTGCTGGTAAAGTTGCTGCTGCTGCTGCTGCTGTTGTTGCCGCTTCCTCTTCCACTCCACCAACTTTTGCAATTCCAGCTCATGCTGATCTCGCAGCCGTTTACAAAAGAATTGGTTTACGTAATCTGAAAAATCATTGTCGTCGCGGACCTTCGTGACTGCAGGTACGATTGGCAACAGCATTGTTGTTTCCATTTATAAACTAGTTTAGGGTTTTAATTTCGATCGAGATTTATCAACACACACCGTACTCCACCGAGGACAAGTCTCTCTCTATCGATATCACACTGCGGTGCACTTCACTTTCAAAGCGAATCCACTCACGAGTCGAGAGAAAAAAAACTTAGAAAAACACTTTATTTACATGCGTGTACGAACTGTCGCCGTATTCTATTTCTCTCTCTCTCTCTTTTAACCCTATTCGCAACTCCCTTTGTTTATTACTCCCCCATTTGTTACTCTTCGCGCGCGACGAGACTCAAGAACGTGACACTGTCGCGAGCCGCGAAGCTGCGCGGTCGTCACGCGTGCGCGTGTGCGCGAATTTCGCGAGAGCCGCCGTATGCCGTATGTATACGATGCGTACGATCGTGCGTGCGTATATATATATATGTGTATACGCGTGCGTGTGTCCGGGGAAACGAAAGAAAAAAAAAAGCGTTTATTATAATATTCGGTGATCTTGTCGTTTATACATCCTGCTCGTTTTACTGATGTCACTGATAGCGCCGCACCGAAACGATATATTATTACCGCGATCACTACTACTAGTACTGGTGTTGCGAGTGATGTCACTGTCGCTGCCTCTGCTGCCACTGTCGTACTGTGTCAGACGAGGGATGAATTTCATTATCGGCGCGCGCGCGACACTCCGGCGACACTCTTAGGCACCTACCGGCTTTACCACGATCTCTTGGCACTGTCACGCGCACTGTCAGACCCGGCGAGCGTATGGCGTACCTCACCTTGCGACAAGTCAGACGAGACTGAAGTTACTGAACTCACTGAACGCTCGCATACAGCGATCTTCCATCTTACGAAGACGTACCCCCACCACGAGGTTACCACCGCTACCGGCTCCGCAGGGACGGCGGCGACTCTCCGGGCGCCTGTGTCCACCAATACGATTTTCCAGAAGCCAAGTAAAGGAAAACGTCCTCTCTACTATTGGCTAAGGTAAGTCGAGTTCCTCGATTTTTGAATCCTACAAGGTTTCAATAGACTACCCAAAATCTGTCATTTCCATTACCTGTGCTTTGTGTTTTCTCAGGCTATGAACTGTCAATCTTACTTTGATTAATGATTAGCGTATCTAACAATGATACTATACATGTCTGGAATTTAGTTAAGGTCGCAACGTCGACTTTGGCAATTTATCAGAGTTGTTTATTTTACATTTTTCTTAATTTCTCTTTATAATTCCTTAATATTTGTTAATTATTTCGTTAAGTAACTTTGTTTAATCTTTTTCATTATTCGCGTGGAGTGTCCATTCCTGTTGTATAAATTCACTAAATGTATGAATATTATTTATACACGTTATTATATCTATAAGGCAGAACCAGAAAGTGAAAACGTGCTTTTAAAATGCGATTTGTTACAAAACATAAAATCCATATATTAAGAATCTCTAATTATAAAAAAGCCAAGAATAAAGTTTCAAAAGCTAGCGGATATACATATATTAAAAAATACATACGTCAAGTTTTTGTATGTCATGACTACGGTATATAATGCGTTGGAGAAATTTTATTATAATCAAAATTAAGTAAGTTGTTTAGAGACTCTTAAAAGAATTTGTCGATTACGATAAAGAAAATATTAATGATTATGGAATCTATTGTATTAAAGTTACAACTTATATAAATCATTAAAGATCTACTAATTATTTTTTAATTACGTTATTTAATTATGTTATTTATTTAATACTTACGTGAACAATAAACAAATATAAAATATAAAATTTTAATGTTATCAAAACGATTAATCACTTGATAGCATAATCTCAAGAAAAAAAAGAAAAAAAAAGGATACATATTATACGATATTTTAAGATTAATCAATTTTCTCTCTCTCTTTTGTCCGATGTGTAAGTGGTATAAAATAGAGTTCATTGTTGTTGTTTTAGTTTAAAATTGATAACAGAGACTTATCAATATGTGTAAACAAAATTAATTGGTCCTACAATATTATAATAACTTTTTTCTTTTTTTTTTTCCTGAGATCTATTATTCTGCTATGTGGACAGTCAAAATTCTTATACTTATTGATATTTTATATTTATTTTTGAAAAAATTAAGGGATATCTGAACTTATGATTTAAGACTCTTAATCTGAGCACGAAGATCTATGTACATCTTTTACCACAAATCGCATTTTAAAAGCGTGTTTCAATTTTTGGTCCTTTTCTTATAAGCTTAAATTGTTTCATAATTTTTTTTAAATTGCATTTATCTTTATTTAAAGCATGTACAGAATATTATCAATCTTTATTTAATTGTAAATCATGAAAGAGAATACTAAAAATAAAATATTGACAGTTAAAAGTATTTTAACGACTATTTGATGAATTTGAATTTAACTTCTAAATAATGTTATAAAATTCTAATTGATTTATACAGTTTTTAGTGGCAATTTTTAGCAACAATACTTGATTTATGGATAATCCATATTATATATCTTTTCAAAAAATACGTGTATTCAAATAAAACCTGAAGGTGCCTTTCTGAAATAAATTTCGTCTATTTTTATGGTCCTTTGGGAATCAGAACTTTCTAACAAAGAATTTTCTAAAAGAAAATCTTCTCTTTTCTATATGTTTTTGGGGTCGTTAAAACCTATTCTACAATATGCTTTTTGTTTCCTATTTCTTGATTTTGTCCTTTTTGTAGCTGACAATTGTTTTGTTTAGAGTTGTAAATGACGGAGAAATACTAGAATTTTAGGGTGAAAAACTCGGAAATTAATGATTTTTTTCCTTCGGTTTTGATAGTTTTGTACTCGTATTTACTTTATTTACTTATATTTTTTCAACTTAACCAGTGAATCACTTATGACTAACGAATATAGTAGGTAAATCTTTTTATTTAAGGATATATTACATATATTTTTTAATGACGAAATAAAAAAATTATAATAAAATTATAGATATTTTCATATTGTATTTGAAAATGAACAAAAAATACAAAAGTATAAAAAATTTGGCAGCAATGATCTGAATCGAAAGTTAATATCTTTATAAAAAGTAGACATGTTTTTAAATAATAATTAAGATAAAATGAAAAAATTTTCATTTAAACAATAAAATTGTATTTTTAAACATAAAATATTGACTTTTTATTAAAGTTTTTCATATGTATATATATAAAACTTTCATTTTTATATGGAAAATATTAATGTTCAATTCTAATCACTTTTTACAGAGACTATGCACCCCCCTAATATATCCTTAAATTAAAAAATCTATCTTATTTCTTGCGGGACTCTTTTATATTAAAGATGTCTGTAAATGAGGAAGCAATAAAATAAATTTCTTTATGTGAAACACGTACTTATATGTGTAACGTCGAACGATACTAAATGAAATAAAGGAAATTGGAATGTGTGAATTAAGCTTGAAGTAGCGCGCCCTTGCCGCTCTGCATCGACGTGTCATTTTCCATCATGTTACGAATTTCATAACACGCACAAGCAAAGCATATTGCACGGTTATTATGAATCTACGCGTTACATTTCCGGCCTTTTTAGCGTAACCCAATAATGACTTCCTTTCGTTGTTCGATGCATTTCCGAAGGACACGCGCGTGTTCTCTCAATGATGATTCTATATTTTTCAAATTCTACTTCAATAGTTACTGTTAGAACCAACTTTCTCGATTTTGAAAATAAAATTTACAATTAAAGTTGATTAATAAAAGTACGACATGGAACTTTGTACACAATTATTCATATATGTGTTTCCTATATTTGTGGATAACGATTAATTTTTTTAGTGACGAATAATTTTACTAACTGATTTTACTACTAATTTTATTAATTTTACTGAGGAGAGAATACATTAATTTTATTACAGATTTTAAGTGTTTCATATACGCTGCATTCAGTCGTGATATCACTATGAGTTGCTTTTAGTTGTAAAACTAATTGCATATGGATTCTGAGTTTCATGAAATCAATGTCACTTGAAGAATATGACAGGAAAATATAAGTTTGTCGGAAAAAAAATGCAATTGGTTAGTAGAGAAGCAATGATTGTTCAACTTAAGAAAATGAACGAGAAGAATACTAAGAAAAATTTGCAGCATAGAGAAGTACTGTACTATCCGTTGCGAAGTCCGTTTTTTGAAAAGATTGATTTTATATATTGACCTCTAACAACATGTATTGACAATTTACGATTTTGTTAATATTGAAAATGACTTAATAACTATTAATTAGGTTAGACAATATAAGCCACTCGTCGTTATGACAAGTGTGCAAATGATCGAATATTCAATGTATAATACATTCCTTATGATTAGAAGTAAAAATCTAGCTAATTTTCTAATTTGATTAAAAATGGCATACATGTACATGCACTTATATGTGCACTTACACAACTATATACGGTGTTTCACATATCTGTTTTTCAATTTTTTTATATGTTCAGTCATTGTCTGATTGATTCCGCCATTTTTTATCAAATTAAAAATAAGACAAATCCAGAGTCAGACTCTTTCTTATTTCTAGGAATACTAGTTAAACTATAAAACGCGCCCTAGCATAAGAAATTAGCGCTTTTTCTAACACCATGTTCATATCAAGAAATGAAATTGGTTCATCTCTACGTATGTACATCGCACCATGATCTAACCGACGAATGTTTCGTTATTCTGCTCGAGCTCTCGATCCGTAATGTTATACAATTCGCGGCGCAGAAAAAATGATGTTGAAATAGCACACGTTACATTACATTCAAGGAGCCACTCGCATAACGCAAACAGTTCTGCGAAGCCTCATTGGTACAGCGGAAACAGAAATTAAATGGCAATGCCATCGCAAATGAATACATATATGTTGTACTATCTATCAAGTACATATTGTACTATTATTTAAAAAATAATAGCTCAGATTCTTTTTGAGCTTTCCTTAACACTTAAACTTTTCATAACTATGCCGAAATCGTCGTTTAGATCGTATTATAGTTTGTAACAGTCAGACAATGCAATATATATATGTATTCTACGTGTGATATTTATACGTGGACCGCAAAGTTAATAATAAAATGCGACAAAAAATTTGCGTACCGTGTTTTTTTATATGATAAAAAAAAAAGAGAATTTTAATCTCAATAAAA